TTTAAATATTGTGTGTTAGGAGAAATTAAGAATAAGCCACATTACAGTGTCAGAAAGGATAATCACTTCCATTATGAAAAAACTAGCCTTAGTCATTTAACAGCATATTGTTTTTAAAAAAAATCACTTTAAGTATCTTAGCATTTTACTCAAAAAAAAGATCCTCTTAACTGTATAGCTTAGACCCTACCTAGTATATGTATACAGCTTGAACTAACAGGGCTCGACCTTGAATCCCGCTGCAAATTGCAAATAAATGAGCTTCGACTGCACAGTTAAAGCCAGTGACAGTGAAGGCAGGATCCTTAGTCTCAGAGGAAGAGCACGCTGGAGCCACAGGCTCTTGCCGTGAGCCCAGCATGAGCTACCCCACGCAGGGCTGCCCCCACCAGTTCCCCCGCGCCTGGGCCTGCAAAGGCTTTGCCAACCCCTCCACGCTCTCCTGCCCTGTGCCCATCGCCAAGTGCCACTGGGGAGTGGGTACAGAGCGCAGGGTCCCATGCGTGAGCCCTGAACAGCCCTTCCAGAAGCAGAGAGGAGGGTACCTGTGCAGGAGCCCCTCTGCTTGCACATTCAGGTTTCTCTCCTAAAAAGGTGTGCGAGCACCACTGAAGAGAAAAACAGATACGAGCAAACTCTCACGCTATATATACTGAAGCTACACTTTCTTTCCATTCAGTAACTCCTTCCATTAAACCTTTTACCATATATGCACTACTTCTTAGACGGCTTGTATTTTTAACCGTTTCTCACAGCATTTGCCAGTGTCACTTGCGCTGCTGGACTGCTCCCTCAGCGTCACGGCCCTCTTCCTGGAAGGGACTTTGCTCAGCAGTAAAGCAAAGAGGTGGCCTCTCCAAGGCTTTGGGAAGGGGAGACGAGGAAAAGCAATCAAAGGGGGCCCAAAGCAATCCCTCATCTCCTTTTTCAGCTGCTTTCTGCTATGATAACAATCCAGGCTGTTGACATCGCCATTTATATGAGCATGGAAGCGATGAAGGCATTACCGCTGTTGGGCTGTGGGTCTTTCCACAGGAGTCAGGCAGGAGGAGCAGGATGATTAGAAATGGAAAAAGACCCTTGCAAATCAGCTGTGGCAGATGAAAAGGCAGGACAAGAGGATAAACAAAGTGTAATTATGGAAGCGATACCACCCCCAACTTTCAAGAAGGTCTCCTTTTTGCTTTCAGTTAGATGAATGGTATATATATCCAAAGCTTTGAACCTGGTCATTAGCTCAGACCAAAAAGGAAGGACTGCTAAATCCCTAAGCAATATTTGGAGAAAATGAAATACAGCATTTTATTTTTTTTTGTCTCAGAACACTCGAAGAATTTATTTTATTGTAGCACCAGACCTTTTGGAAATAAAGATCCTGTTATAAAGTGAATGCGTAATCTTAATAAGCCAGATCCAGAGATCTCAATTCAGTTTTAGCACAGGCCAAACTCTGATTTCAGAATGAGCTTGTCTGAGCATAGTGACCTCGTAAAGGCTGCAGGATTCATACCATTTGTGCTGTGTGATTGTAACAAACTAGTTGTGAATGTGGAGGGAATTCAGAAAAGCTTCGTTTTTTTCCTAAAGTGAAAGCATGCTTTTTATCCCCAACTTTGCACCATTCCCAGTCTCCTTCTAAAAAGATCTGTGAAAGGGAAAGGTTTTTTTAATTGCTATAAAACCTTTTATTAGCTATGCAGGTTTGAGGACTCAGGATTTTGTTTCGTTCAGAAATATTAGGCTCATATAAGCTTCCTGCACCTTTTTGCTTTAGAATCTGGATCAACCATTTGTGTGTGAAAATGTAGCTAACCGCATCCAGAGCAGCTGTTACTGTCGCTAACAACCTACAGGGAGGCTGTTAGCCCTGTATAAGGACGTGTCTTACGCTACCTTGCTCAAGCTCACTTTCCTTAAGTGAAGAAAAAGCAAGCACTTGGGTACTTTCCCCGTACTATTCTAATGTTTTTGGTAATGAGGAAGAATTCAACTTTCACACATACAGGAACATATGAAAAACTAATTAAGAGCGTTCTTGTGGTCCTGTTTTTTTCATGTAATATCTGTCAAAAAGAGTGGCTGCATTGCTACATGTCTGGCCAGTGCATAAGGCAATATAAATATTTACTGTTGGAGATATGTCATTTCATAACTATTTTCAACTCCCATTAATATGAAAATAACAAAATGTGAAATATAATGCATTAGCACTTAAGAGCATTAGGTTATTCTGTAACACAGGGCTGTCTGATTTTTCTGATCAGATGGACCATGCAACTTCCCCTGTTGAGCCAGGTCTGCATACCCTGGCTGCTTTCTTCAGAGCACAACTGAGACAGTTTTCCATGTTCATGTCCAGCACAGCTGATCTGCTCATGCACAGGATCCCTCCTAGTACCAGAACCACTGTCTGTGCACAGCTTGGTACCTCAGGAACACAGAATAAATTTAGCACTTCCCAGGTATATATGCCTATTCTCTGCACCAGTCTGTGAGCTCTGGGGAAAAAGAGCTGCTGGGAAGAGGCTGCTGGTGCCAGAACAATTTCTGCAGCTTGGACTACACCATCTTTTTTCCCCCAAGGTTTCCTTGGGTAGAGACAGCATGCAAAAGGGGTTGGATGGAGAGCCTTGGAGGTGGCAACCCACTCCTGGCAGGTCATCTGCCTTCAGGTTCCCCTGAAGCCCGGGCGCCCCTCAGAAAGGGTTTATCACAACTGTGCCAAGAAAAGGGATAAGCTAAATGTAGAAGCTTGCTTTAGAAGAGAGAGTCAGGGGAATGAAGCCACAGGCTGGCTGGCTGGTCTTCACAGGCCTTAGAAGTATCCATTCTCAAAGACAACACTCTTTATAACACCCCCATGTACAAGGCAACCAGCCTCTTGGACCAGGCTTCCTTTGGACTG